ATCTATGAAAATTAAAGCTTTTAATATGGCGTAAGTTTCGCATTTGAAAATGGGGTACATTTCAGGTAATTTAAATTGCAAATTTGTTTCAAGGGTGTGAATACTACATCCGGAACCTATTTTGTTTTTGGAACCATCTGTGTAGATGTGAGTGTAATCTTCGAATTTTGCTTTTAGTTCTTCAAAGTGAGCTCTATATAAAACAGGTTCTGTATTCTTTTTGGATAGATGGTGTAATTTAAGTTCTATTTGTGGTAAGGTAAGTTGCCAGGGAGGAAGAGAATGTGGTTTGATATGACTTATTTTTGGTAAGGTTGTGTTTATGGAAGCTAGATCTTGCGTGATTCTGTGATAAAATGGTTGAGGGTATCTTGGTATATCATTGTAATTTTCTTGGTATTTCCCTTCAAAAGTGGTGTTGTATGTAGGGTTTGTAGGCGTAGAGGCTATTTTTGATGCTGTTATTAAACGGAGAGTTTTCCTTCTTATACTCAATGGTGGTTGGCCTGCTTCACTGAGGATACTGTCAACTGGGCTGGAGCAGAAGGCTCCCAGTGCTATTCTAAGTCCTGAATTATGTATTGGTGATAGTTTTTTTAGAACGTTTGTTTTAGCAGAACTGTAGATGGAACAACAGTAATCAAATTTTGTTCTGATACAAGCATTGTGTGTGTTTATTAGGAGGTTTTGATCTGCTCCCCAATTTCTTTTTGCAAGTGTTTTAATCAAGTTTAATCTTCTTTTACAGGAATTTTTTAATTCAGTTATGTGTGGTTTCCAGGTTAGGTGATTATCAAAGATTAACCCAAGGATTTTAATTTTATCTGTGACAGGAAGCAATTGATTATTAAGTTTAATTTTTGGATTTCTAGTTACTGATTTTCCTTTTGAAAAGGTTATACAAGTGGATTTTGTACATGAAAATTTGTAACCTGTAGTTTTTAACCATTTTTGAAGAGAATTTAAACTTTCCTGCATTGTTTCTTCAGTAATTTCAAGGTTTTTTCCTTTGCAGTAAGCTGTTATATCATCTGCGTATATACTGCATTTTACAGGTGGTTTGAAGCATTTGCTGACGTCGTTGAAGGAAACTAGGAATAAGGTGGCACTTAGAACGGATCCTTGAGGTACCCCATTTTCAAGTTCGATTTTTCCGGAGAGGTGTCCGTTTACTCGTACTTGTATATATCTGTGTTTAAGGAAATTTTGAATAAAGACGAGAATTTTTCCTTTGACATTGTTATTTGAGAGGATTTGGATAACGTTATTTCTCCATGTCATTTCATAGGCTTTTTCGACGTCCAGGCACACTGTTAGGAGGTGTTGATTATTAATGAAGGCATCGCAGATTGCTGTATCGAGATTTATTAATGAATCTACTGTGCTTCTTTTTTGTCTGGTACCACTTTGATTTTTATCGAAAAATTGGTTACTTTCTAAGAACCATCGTAGTCTTTTGTTTATTATTTTTTCTAAAAGTTTACATAGGGTGCACGTTAGGGCTATAGGTCGGTAACTAGTTAGTTGTCGTTTGTCTTTGCCTGGTTTGTGAATAGGAACGATAATCGATTCACTCCACTGATTGGGAAAAACGCCATGCAACCAGATTGTATTGAATATTATATTGAGGTAGGTAAGAGCTTTGTTTGATAGGTTTTTTATAAGGTTGTTTGGAATTTTATCTGGTCCAGGACTTGTGTTTTTACATTCTTTTAAGGTGTTTTTTAATTCTGTGAATGTGATCGGGGAATTTAAAGGTGATGAGCTGTTGTCGTTAATGTTTGTTTCTGGGCTGTTATTTTCAATTTTGTGTTTTAGAAATTCAGCGTCGTAGTTGGAGTTGCTGGAGTTTTTTTGGTATACAGAAGCAAGTGCGTCTGCAATGTCGATTGGGTCTGAGATAATTGTATTATCTTGTTTGAGTAAGGTATTTATTTTGAGCGGTGTTGATGATCCTTCAATGCTCTTGATTTTTTTCCATACTGTAGAGCTGGGGGTGTTTTGAGATATGGAGGAGATGTATTCGGTCCAAGATCGTCTTTTTTCTGTTTTACAGATTTTTCTTGCGGTTGATCGAAGTTTTTTAAATTCAATTTTCATTTTTTCGGTTTTGTGTTTTTTATAGGTGTTATATGCGTGTTTTTTATCTTTTATGACTTTTGCTACCGTTTCGTTCCACCAAGGGACTTGTTTTTTGTGTATTTTATTTGATGTTTTCGGAATGCTCAGATCCGCAGCTTGAATTATAGCTTCAGTGAAATTGGAAACAAGAAGGTGTATTTGATTGTAATTGTCAACAGAAGGAGTAATTAAAAGATCGATTTTTTCATCAAGTATTTTTTGAAATTCTTCCCAATCTGCTCTTTTAAGTTTCCATGTAGATTCTCGAAAGTAGTTGTTGGTGTTTTGATTTTGGAAATTTATTGATATTGGGAAGTGATCGCTATTATATAAATTGTGAATTACTTGCCATTTAGGAGGTGCCCGATTGTAGCACTGCTGAAGCTGAGATCAATTGCACTGAAGTGTGTTGGTTGAGTACTGTTTAGTAAGAGGATGTCAGGGTCGTCTAAAAGGTTGTCTATTATTTTGCCTCGAGAGTCTGTATCAGAAGATCCCCATAGGCTATTGTGACTGTTAAAATCTCCGGTTAATATGAATGGTTTTGGGAGTTGATTGATTAGTTGCTGTAATTCTTGTAAATTGAAGTTGTATCTATTTGGTATATAAACATTGCAGATGCATATTTCTCGTTGCAAATGTAATTTTGCTGCAACGGCTTTTAGATTGGTTGTTAGTTGTACTTCTTCGGTATAAACGTCGTTTTTAATGTATATGGCTACTCCACCGCTCGCACGATCAGTATTTGTTCTGTTTTTGAAAAAAACAGAAAAATTTTTTAGTTTAATATTTGAATGTTCATTAAAATTTGTTTCTTGAAAACATAATACTTTAGGGTTTTGATTTCTGATTAATAGTTGTAAAAATTCGAGTCTTCGATGGAATCCATTTAAATTCCATTGTATTATGTCGAGACTCATTTTTGCGTTTTAGGTTTCGGAGTTAGTTGAGTTTGTATCATCATCGGTTTCATCTGGGTCCGCATCTGATAGAATTTTTTTTAACTTGTTTATAATTTTTGTGTGTTTGGATTTTGCGGTTTTGTTGTTAAGAAGGGGGTACAAATCTGTCAGCATTGTGATTAGAGAGTTTAAGTCTTTGCAATATTCTAGGGCCATAGGTGCGATGTTTTTGATGCCTTTTGTGTTGTCAATGAAGCTCTTGTATTGCATGTAATTGAGGGGATATTTGTTTTCTGGGTCGTCGAGTATATCTTGAATGGAATTAGGTGGTTCATTGGAACTGATTTCTGGAGATGTATTAAAGAATTTTGATTTTTTGTTTGTGTGTTTATTTTGTTGACTTTTTTGTTTTTGTTGTCTGTTTTCGACGGGGTTAGTTTCATTTTTTTCTTTTTCGGTAGTGAGATCATTTGGAAGGTTTTTTGTGCTGTCATTTGATTTTGTAGACTTGGTGTCTGAGAGAGGTCGTTTATTTCGTGGTGAATCTGTAGATACTTGTATTTCCAACGGAGGAAATTGTAGTGAGTCGTTTGGTTTTTGGTTGTCATTGATGGTTGTTTCCATTTCCACTGGTTGATCGGAGGTGGCTGTGTCGAATTGGGTACATTGTTTGGCTATATGTCCACTTTGTTTGCAGAGGAAACATTTCAGTGTGTCTGTGGAGGGATATATCCAGTAAGTTGTTTCTTCATAATTAATTTGTAACGATTCAGGAATTAGTTTTTCATCGTCCGGGTGAATATAAACCTGTCTTCTGAAACTGAGAATGTGGGAATATCCAGGGTTGGATATTCTGGCCCTTAAGAAGGTCATGGATGAATTTATTCTTATTTTTAATTGATTTAGAGCATCGATTAAAATGTAGTAAGGAATAATTGGACACACGTTAGAAAGTATCAATCGTTTATGTTGGGTGATTAGTGGTCTTAATTGAAGAGTGTTGTCGTTGATTACAATGTGTGTGTGTTTGGTTGTGAGGTCGTTCACTGTTTGTTTACTGTCTAGGTAGACACATACTCGATTTCCTGAGATTCTTAATACAAATCTGATGTTGCTTGGGTTAGTAAGTTTTCCAATTTCGAAAATATATTTGTCAATGGGAATGTCTGTTATGGAATCTATAACAATCGCTTGATCTTTTTTTGGGAATTGGTTCTTTTGAATAGCAGCTGCATAACTGTGGGTGGGTTGGGATCTGTTTGTTTCTTGTGAAGTTGGGTTCTGTGATGCACTTGGGGTATTTTCTGGGTTAGGAAACATTTTTCGGTTTTGTGGTGACTGCACCGCGGTGCATCACTTTTCCGATTTTAACAATGGTACACGTGAACTGAAAAGTTTTTTCACTTTGCACTAGAGTTGAAAATTTTTGAAAATTTAAATTATTTGATTTGATAGTAACTCGTTTAAGAAAAGTAAGGTAAACACCGTACTTTCAAAACACAACCGTTCTCGACGAGGTTCGAGACTTTACTAAGTCAAATAATTGTTTGTTTGCTTTGTAGATGATGTCAAGTCAATAAAGGGTACCGGTGCGGTGGTGCAAATATCTAATGTCCAATGAAGTTCCCATCTCGGCTTAAAACAGCTACTTCTTTTTCAATGAATTGATCATCCACTCCTCGAAATCCTTGGATATCAATAATATAATCCATCATTTTTCTCGTATTAATAAAAATTTAGAGTTAGAAAATATAGAGAGTGGACGTTTAACATCCTCACCTTGTGAATGCTATCAGAAAACTGAATGCAATCTTATCCATACATGTATAAATGAAAGTAGAATTTCTAACACAATCTTCTCTTATTTTATTTTGGTTTTAATATTAGATAATATTTTATGGTTTGACAGTAAGTAATAAAAAGATTCCAAGAAAAATGAAAAAAGGTTATCTTAAACTTGAAAGATATGGTGCCTATCTAACCTCCAAAATCAACAATGACCTGCCTTGTCGAGTCTATTTCAAGAACATTATCGTATTCTCCGTAAACAATACGGTTTACAGTCTCTGTTAAAGCATTATTAAAGCGCACTTTAATTCTAAGGCTGCCGCTTCTTATCAAATTCCAGTGAGAATAACAGTTTGCCGACAGATTTGGTGTTACGTCAAAAGCAAACAGACAAAATCCATTAGGATAGCTAGCTCTGTCTATATCATTTCCATCGTTGAGAAAATGTATACCGGTTCCAGAAAATAAAGTTTGATAACAATTAATATAAAGACCTTCTGTATTAAAATCAGGTTGTAAAGGTTTAGAAGGAATCTGCATACCATCAATATAAAGGGATAAGAAATTAATGTCATAATTTTTGAAATTAAACGGGTTTAAACCTGCATTTCCATTGTATGCTTTATTATCAACAAAACCAATTATTACTTTTTTCGGTAGTTGTCCTAAAATGATATTATCTAAAGTTTCAGCGTGAACACCCCTATGTAAAGTTAATGTTTTAACCTCAACTCTTGTAATGGGATATTTGGCTGTACCATGCGAAAGAGCTTTTGTATGAGCAAGAAGAACGGCAGGACTAATTTTTAATCGTCGTACAAGAAGTGTCGCTTCTGAAATATGTAAGGAACACTGGTTTGTAGGGTCTAAAAGTGTAAAAGTATTTTTTGAACGTACAAGTCGGAGTCGCATTTCAACACCATTCAAAAGAAATTTGTTTTGATTAAACACATCACAATGTAAATGACCAATCAAATCTACAACCCCATCTGGTTGTAAAAGAGCTCGTCGTGATCCAAATCCTGTTGAATCTCGATTTACATCTTCCATATTTTTATGGTCATCTGTGTACCATAGTGCTGTACTTAAATGACTTCTTTTTGCAGCAGGACCGTAATTAAGTAGAGTTTCAAGATAAGCTCTATATGCATAGACATTATTTGGCGGGGAAACAAGTTTTTGGTTGAAATACACATCTATTTGATTGAAAACTGAGTATAGTAAATTATTTACAACACTGACCTTTGCTATAGTCTCTCTATTCTCAGAAGTAATTGTTGGTGTTATTAATGTAACACGAATGCTTAACATAGTATGAGCAAGATCTATGTATTCCTCACCATGGTTAGGGATGACACATTCTATGGGTGAATCGTCTGCAAGTGACGAAATAAGGCCTAAGCACAATAGCTTCGGGAACGTGATCTCGGTTCGCGAACGACGTTCCCGAAACATAATCTCAAAATCGAAGCGTATGGCAGGAGACGCGGATCACACGTATTTTAAAAAGAAGTTTTGCAAAGATCAAAAGAATTTTAACGATCAATTTTTATCGAAGGGAAAAATTGCAGGTAAGAATTTTGAAATAATACATTGATTTTCAAACGTAACAAGAAGAAAGGTACTTATAATTTTTATACTGCAATGTGTAAAAATTGTTTTGAGTAATGCAAAAATTTATAAAATTATTCTTTTTTCTCTAATAAAAAAAAGTTTGATTCTAAAACCGTAGATTTTTTTATAGTTTTAGGTACAATTTTAAACAATAGACTTGAAAATGTAATACGTTTATGAAAATATAAATATGGTATACCTGATAATTTACTTAAAATTTAAGTTTCACGGATCAAATAATTCACACCAAGGTGTCATATACTGAATTTAATAACGAGATACTTTTATTGATTATCATTATAATTCAAAGCGCTTCAATTTTGAAATTGATTTGAACTACAAGTAGCAGTAGACGATGGGCTGTTCGACCGATCAACCAACTTCGACCTGATCTTGGAGAATACGAAACATTATTTCAAGAAATGATGAATAATGAAGAATATTTTTTCAGGTACACGAGGATGAACATTGAATTTTATCATTATTTACTGAAGAAAATTACTCCACTTTTATTAAAAAGGAGTCGCAAGAAGCCTTTAACTCCAGGGCATCGGCTGTGGATGCCCGAGATGAAATTTTCGACCTGTTTTCTACCTTTTAAACCTACTTCAATCCTAATTTAAACCTTTTCGTACTTTTTTCGTCCTTTTAGGCCTACTTTAACCCTTAACCAACCTTCGATTGTAACATTTTGAACCTAAAATGGACCTTATTAGACCTTATGAGACTACTTGAATTTTTACTGACAGGTAAACAAACTTTTCTGACCCTTTTTTCATCCTACTTGGCACTACATTCGGCCTTACTTATATCTGTTTAGACCTACAAGCAACTTGAACTGAAATTTACTGAAATGAGGTGCAATATAGCTCGACGGACTTTAAAACATGTGTAGGTGCTATAAAATGTAAAACTCAACCAACCATTCTCCACAGGAGGGCTCTGGTTACATTTAGGTACAAAATTAGAAATAGTATTTTCTGAAATTGTATAAAAAATTATAAATTTCTCATTTTAATTCCATTGTTCAAAAAGGGTCACTTTTTGGTGTCCGGAAAAAATACATGAAAAACCAAAGCAATCATAAAAATGGGACTGAAAAGTACAAAATATCTCAGATGCTTATGGGTTGAAGAAACGGGTATATATATATATATATATATACCTATTTGTGTATATACACAAAATATAGTTTTGGAATTTCCAAATTTTTTACACAAAATTTACTATAGTAAAAACACAAGTATCACCAAGCCAAAAACCGTTTTCCCACCAGTCTTTTGTCGACTTCGACAAAGTTAGTTTCGATTTTCTAAAGCGTATATCTCCGTGTGATTAAAGTGATATTTACACAAAGTAATGTAAAAAAAATAATTGTGTCTTAGTGTATATTCTACATATATAAATTTGTATATTTGTGTTCTATATTGTATATAATTTGTATATAAAGACGATGTTGAAGTACGCAACGTTTATGATGAACGATTTTTTAAGAAAAATACTTTTTTAGAATGAAAATTTAAAAAAAATTTTGCTTGAAAAATATTTTTTGTAGAGTTTATTAATTAACAAATTATAAAAAAATATATTTTTAAATAAACTAGGGTAAATGCACTAATTGCGGCGCGATTCGAGTCAAAACACCTTTGAAATAGAAAATTCGACATTTCTATTGTATAAACTCAATTTAAGACTTATTAAACTAAAAGGTTATGTTATATAGGTTTTAAAAAAAATGTTCAACTTTATAAAAATCGATTATTTAAACAAATATGAGAAATTAAAACTAATACCGTAATTTTCTATTGCGGCGCGTTTGTATCAGTTTCGGTGGATCAATTTCGGTGACCAAAATTACGTGTATTTTGAAGATACTTTTCCCGCCGAAATTAGAGACAATGAAAATCTTAGTAAGGGCGCACTCACACCTTCTGGCTGCCTGCCTGCCTGCAGGAGTTGTCATAGCAACGTGCAGGAGTAAGAGAGAGAGAAAATTCAAATTTGAATTTACTATCTCTGTTACTCCTACACGTTGCCATGACAACTCCTGCAGGCAGGCAGGCAGCCGAGAGGTGAGAGTGCGGCCTAATGTTTCAATTGCGGCGCGGAAAAAAATTTGATCTTTAATAATTAAATTAATAATTAAATTAATAATTGTTTAAATGTGTATCTTTATAATTAATTGTATCAAAAAAATATTAAAATAATTTTTTTTAATCATATTGCAACAGTTATATTAAATATAATAGTAATAATAGTTATTTTTTTATGGACACGCCGCAATTGGTACACTTACCCTATTTTATAATTTTCCGTGTTAAATAAAAATTAATTTCGAATCGTTGATTATAAACGCTGCGTACTTCAGCATCGTTATAATGTTTGTATTAATAAATAAATAAATAATAATAATAAATAAAATAAATGGACTATATGGCCACCACGGAAACTTGGATCTTTTACCTTATTTATGATCATATTGTAAATTGATGCTAATGACATTGGTTAGTAAAAATATAATATTAATAAATATTAATGCTATAAAATAGTTAATATTATATTTGAGACCGTTGAATTTCTCTGATTCCAACTGCATGTTTTACTTGAAAGTATGGAAAATAAATTCTTAATACATATATGTATATAATTATTTTATTTTCCATACTTTTTAAGTCGAACAACATACCATAAGAATCAGAAAAATTTAAGGATCTCAAATATAATATTAAATATTATGTAACATTAATATTTATTAATATTATATTTTTACTAACAAATGTCACCAGCATTAATTTACAATAGGGTCGTAAATCAAGCAAGGGAAAAAATTTTCCGAAGGTCATCTCATAATGACCCTAATGAGACTAAAAACTTCCTAAACAACCCTACAATATTTTTACTGACGACCCTCCTTTCGACCTTTTTGATACTGCAAATTTAACCCTACACTTACTAGAATCAACCTAAACTAGGAGAAAATGGACGAAAGCGACACAGTTTAGGCTGATTGTAGGCTCTTTAGGTCCATTTCTGTATTCTAGGACCCTTTATAAAAAAATTTTATGAGCTTCTCAGAGAGCGGAGAATTGTAGGCTGAAAGTAAGGTTCAAAGTAGGCTCGAAATTTTGTCTCGGGTGACATCAAAGTATATTGTTCTAATCATATATACATATATAATTAAAATTAAGTTAAATATTTATGTTAAATGTAGTATAATCACACTTACACTCTCAAAAATAAAACTGTTTCTTCCATTCACATATTGTACTCCACATAATCTACTTCTGTCACATACCGTGCAATTTCTTTTTTCTACACATTAGATACACACACAATTTGATAGACACGGAAATTAAGTAGTTATTATTTATAATTATTTCTAACATTAACAAAACAAAAAAGATAAAATGAATGTCGTTTTGGAAATCTTGTCATAAGTCCTCAAATATTTTAATAAGTTTTAATCTAATTTTATACCAGCATTCAAAACATTCTCTTTCTCTGATACGTTTTTGATACTTTTTAAAATCTTAAGGGCACTTGTCACACATTATGTGGTCTCCTTTCCATTTTTTAATCAAATAATCTCTGTATTGCAGATATTTGCCTAGTAGTGATTCGCTATTTTCGATAGCTACATCTTTTCGTGTTGGCGAATCAACTTTAAGGTTGGCTATTCAAGAAACGTGCGCTGCCTTAATTAAAGTCTTGGCGCCTGAATACCTCAAGGTTCCTACTCGAGAAGATTGGCTTAGATGTAGCAGAGGATTTAAAGAAGTGTGGAATTTACCAAATTGTGCCGGTGCTGTGGATGGAAAACATATTACTATCAAAGCGCCAGCAAATTCAGGTAGTCTGTAATTATAATTACAAGCACACTTTCAGTACCGTTTTGATGGCAGTTTGCGACCATGAGTATAAATTTTCATTGGTTGACGTTAGATCTTATGGATATATGAGCGATTCTGGAATTTTCGTGGACTCTTTAATGTCGGAGGGATTATTTAATGGCATTTTGCATATGACAGAGGAACAGTTTCAGATACCAAATTACAATATTACAACTCCACTATATTTAGTAGGTGACAACGCCTTTCCATTTTCGACCAAACTAATGAAACCCTTCTCTGGTAATTTCTTAGGCGAAGGTTCTAACAAGAAACTGAAGTGTTTTAAAAAAATGTTAATGAATAAATCTATTATACTAATAAAATTGAACTTAATTTTACGACGTTTTTTCCATTTTCATTAAAAGTTGTATTATTTTGTTCCATCTATATTAATAAAATTAGACTTATGTCTATATATTGCTTAAAATTAAAAATTTTTTATCATAATTTGACATTTCTAACATCAAGAAACCCGAAAATGTCCATAAAAAAATGTATGTATGTATGTATGTCTGCAAAATTTTGTTCCAGCATCACTCGAGAACGGCTTGATAGATTTAACTGAAACTTGGCAATCTATTAGATACTAGTCCAACTTAAAATCTTAGCTTTACCCGGTTAAAAAATATTAATATGAACAAAAGTTATAACATTTTTTCAAAAATTTGTACCTTATAATTGTGAAAACAATTTATATTTAAGGTAATAAAAAAAAATTTTAAACATAATTTCAAATTTTTCAAAAAAGTAAAACTCAATTTTTTAAACCAAACTTATTTTTAGAAATGTTTTTACGTATTTTATTTT